ATAACCTAGAGACTTTTAACTTAAAGAAAATAAATAAATTTATATGATTTATTCTTTTTCTCATTTCCCAAAATTATTTCAAGCGTTTTTAGATTTATATATAATTTATAATTAAAAAATTTTGGTTGATTAATTGTTATTATTATTTTTCTATTCTTTTAAGATCCATTATGTAAATCAAAAAATTATCAAAAAATTTCAAAATAAATGAAAAATGAATGAAAACAACAGGATAAATCATTAAGACCATCTACAATGTATTTCTCTATTTTTAACTTTAGAATTGAAAAAATTATAGCATTCTTCTATTTCTTTTTCAATGTATCTTAATGATAATTCAAAAACATTTCCTCTATATATAGTGGAATCATATAGTTTTCTCTATTATAGAAGTAGAAATAGAAATGGTTTGGAGTAGATTTTACTCTAAAATTGAGTTTAGAAAGAAAAAAAATAGATTTGGGTTAGAGATGCCATAAAACAACTCTCTTTGTCTAAACGAGTTTTGGGGAAAAATAAATGTTATTTATAGTAGTTCTACACAAGATATTCTTCATTATATCAACGATTATTCTAAAACTGATTTGAGTTGGATTTACTTAAAGCATCGTTTAGATTATATGAAGAGACAATAATGCATATATAAGAAGGATTCAGAAGCTTTGAGTTTCATCCAAATATTTTTCAGTTTATTCCACTACTTGATGGAGCTTTTGGTTATTAAACCAAAACATGAAATAATATAAATAAATGAGATATAGTTATTTGAGATACAAGAAGCTCTGTTTCAAAGAGTCTTCTAGTAAATAAGAAAAGCTCTGTTTCTGTTAAAAGGTTTCGAAATTAAATCGCCTCAACGAAATTAAATCTTAAAAAAAAAAGTGTACTAATGAAATCAACATTTTGGTATCGACATGTGACTCGATCTATTGCCCTCAACAAAGTAACGAAAGGTAATATTCTTCAACTTCAGCAATTGCTTTATAGATTTCTTCGTACCTTCTCGTTTTATCTTCAACTTCAGTTTTAGCTTCATTTTCAACGGCTGAAAAGAGACGCCGGAGACCATATATGTCTTCTTCACTCAAGAACCGATGTGATAGTAATTTCGAAGCACTTCCTCTATCCTCAGGGATTCTTGAGAAACACTTTTTTAGAAACTCCCTTGCATAACACGGCACACTCTCTGGAATCTCAATCGCTTTTCCACCCAACAAAACATCGTCAAGATCGTCATCGTCAACTTCCGACCATGGTGATTCACCGGTAAACATCTCCAACACTACACACCCTAACGACCACAAATCTAGGGCTTTCTCGGCCACACCGTTCTTGACTGATTCTGGCGACATGTAAACAGCTGTTCCTGCATACGGACCATCGAATTCCTCCCATGTAGTAGCAATGTCCCCAACTATTGTCGAAGACCCGAAATCCGCAATCTTCAACTCGTAAGACTGTCCACACGGGAAGACAAGGATATTTGCCGGTTTGATATCGCAATGAACATAACCGTTGCTATCATGAATAGAGACCAATCCTTGTAAAATCATACGAGTGAAGTCTATAATCATCGTTTCAGGCAATTTTCTATCATTGTAATTGTCCATGAAAGTGGCTAAACTACCGCAACCTGCATACTCCATAACCATCTTGTAAATTCTCGATCCGTTGCGGTCGATATCCTCTTCCACTTCATAATTCCCATAGCATTGTACGATTCTATTACATCCTTTGAATAGTGAGAGAATATCAATTTCCCTTTGGAGAATGTCGTAGTCTTCGAATTGGACGGTTTTCACCGCAGCGAAAAGCGGTGGTAAGCGGTCGCTTTTTATGTATTTGACGAGATGGACTGATCCATTCGAACCTTTATCTAAGAACTTCACGAACTCTGGTTTTGTTTGCATGTTGGAGCTCGTTTGTTCTTCAACTTCACCAGGGGCAAAGAGACGCCAGGGACCATACATGTCTTCATCACTCAAGAATCGATGTGATAGTAATTTCGAAGCGTTTCCTCTATCCTTAGGGTCTCTTGCGAAACACGTTTCTAGAAACTCCCTTGCATCACACGGCACACTCTCTGGAATCTGAGGCGTTTTTCCACTCAACAAGAAAGACGCAAAATCATCAGAAGAAACCTCCGGCCATGGTTCTTCACCGGTATACATCTCCAACACTATGCAACCTAATGACCACAAATCTAGGGCTTTCTCGGCCACGCCATTCTTGACTGATTCTGGTGACATGTAAATAGGCGTTCCCACATAAGGAGAACTGATTTTCCATCTAAAAGGAATATCTCCAACTACTTCCGAACTCCCGAAATCCGAAATCTTCAATTCGTAAGATTGTTTACACGGGAAGACAAGGAGATTATCGGGTTTGAGATCGCAATGAACATAACCGTGGCTATGAATAGAGACCAATCCTTGTAGAATCATACGAGTGAAGTCTTTAATCATTGTTTCAGGCAATTTTCTATCTTTGTAATTGTCCATGAAAGTGGTTAAATTCCCGGCAGCTGCGTACTCCATAACCATCTTGTAGCTTCTCGACCCGTCACGGTCTAAATCCTCTACCAATTCATAATTCCCATAGCATTGTACTATTCTTTTACATCCTTTGAATAGTGATAGAATCTCAATTTCTCTTTGGAGATAGTCGTTGTTTTTGCATTTAGAGGTTTTAACCGCGGCGTAAATCGGTGATGAGCCGTGGCTTTTTATGTATTTGACGAGATCGACTGATCCATTATTACCTTCATCCAAGAACTTGACTAACTCTATTTTCGTTAACATCTTCGGAACGACAACAAAACTTATGTGCTTCGAGCTCAGGTGATCTCAATGTTTCTTATAACTTTGTTAGAGGATCTTGAAGATTACGATAGGTAGGGTTCTTTCAAGTGGCTGCTTTATTTCGTTTTTATTTTCAAGGTTTTCTTTCGTTTTAGATTTTTTTATATGTAATGAAATTATTGCAATTTTCTATATCACATTGAATTAGGAGATGTTACTGGCCGTCAAATTCTTGTTTTTTTTCCCGTGACCTAGGATCACAAGTTCATCTAAAGAAAGGAAATAGAAACAGAGATATATAATACATTTTTATTATCTATATTTAATTATCTATAAAATTCAATGTTCAAGAAAACACTAGGCGCTAAGCAGGCGGTGACCCAATGCCTAGTGCCTAGAACGCATAATCGGAGTCTAGACGATTTAATAGGCAGTGTAAGCGTTTTACAAAGATACATAATATATTAGATATATATAATAAAATATATAAAAACCATAATTTTTAATTAATAAAATTTATATTGTATTTATATTCATCATTTTATAGCCAAATATATAAAATTTTACTATTTATATATAAAAAAATTTATATTATTTTACTGTTATAATACTATAATATTTTAGGCGGCAAAAGGGGTAATCGCCACGGTCTATAGGGGCCTAGCGCCATCTAGGCGAACGCCTAGAACGCTTTTTAGAACACTGATAAAATTACATATTTAAAATTTTCTTTTGGAAAAACATTATAAAAAAACAAAAAAATGGTTAAAAAAACTACGATCACAAAATAGTGCGGATTAAATTAGATTTTTTCTAGAACCGCATACAACACAATTCAGAAAGTTAACCCATTTTAATTTTAAATTGCTAAAAATATAAATAATTGAATATCGACATAACCATTAAAAA